ATCAGCAGAAGTCTGAATACCTAAAATAAATAAATGGGTTGGTTTATAAATGGGGGGCAAAGGAAATGGGGCAGTTACAGAAACTGACTTCTCATTTACTCTTGTGTTTTCTTTCTCTTCCCAATGCAGTATCTCCCCTAATCTTGAGCTGGAAGCTCTTTTTAAAAGACACTTCACTCAGGTGGAATTTTATCAGGGTTCAGTCCTTAATCCCCATGACCTGGCGAGAGTGAAGGTAACAGCTCTGTTGTTCTGTTCTCCTGCTAATTGACCTTTTTTACAGTACTCATTGCATTATTTGGAAAAAAAACAGTAAAGCTCTTCTTCAGGTAACCCCAAAAGATTGTTTTTCCATCTCTATTAGCTTGCCTAATAAATTATTATATCTGTCCTTATAAACCTTGTTTTCCCTATATCTTTAGGTGTTCAAAGCTACAGTAACACTGTGACTTAAGATACATTGTCTGCCATTCCATTGAACTTTTTATGAATTTTTCATTGGGTTTAGTTCAAGAGTCTATTTTACATTAATGTTTGATATAATAGTACATTGTCTTACAGTAATTGCTTAAAATGCTATTGTCTTACCTTCATCAGAATGATTAGAAAATAATTTTTCACCTGTCAAACCCTTTTTCTATTGTCTAGAATCCTGCAAAAAAAAAAAATACAATTTAAAATTTTTGGTTGCTAAAAGGGGATGGTTTTATTGTCTTGAATTCTCTATGGTAAATTATTTTGTACTCTTAAAGCAAAGCATGAAGCTTAAATGAAAAAAAAAAAAGATGGCAAGCTGTCAGATACAACATTAACTCTTTTACGTTTCTTTTTCTTTTTCTTTCTTTTTTTTTTAATGGAATATAAACCGGCTACTTAAGCCAAGAATATTTTAGTGCAATGTTAACACTTTCTGGAGTATTAATCATGTGTTTTGTCCATTTTGGCTGCAGAGATTGCTTAACCTTTTGTAGCCCAACACACACTGTTTCAGTTTATCAGAACAAAATGTTCTAATTATGACTATAAAATTGTGTGTTGGTATTTTGCGTTCTGTATTCCACCCTTCTTTGTGTTGGTATTTGGTTGTATATACTGAAAAATACTTTTGTCATCTGCTTTGAGTTAAATAGAGCTATGGTTTGTGTGAACATAGAGGTCCTGTGAACAGATCAGTTCTCCTTCTCATGCTTTCTAAAACTGGTGCTCAGATTTTAAATCATCAGTTCAGCCACCTCTTCCTGTCTCGAATAGGAAGGTACTTAAATTCCCAAATGAAGCTGCAGGACTTGTGGGAGCACTGTACTGATATAACAGGAACTTCCTATGGATTTAGGAGTCTAAATTTCAGTATCTGGTTGCAAAAGATATGTCCATTAACACCTTCAGGCCTCAGCTGATACAATGTAAGAGTCAATAACTGAACTACTGACCTGGTCTGAGCATCATAAGCAAGTTTCAGGAAATTACTATGTGTATATGAGAGCTGTTATCATCATTCATGTTAACTTATGTTAGCCTTCTAACATTTTTGATTAGCAGTAATAAGAACTGACATTCGCACTCATGATGGCAGTGTTGGATTCCCTAATACTTTATGATGAAAAAAGAGCTGGAAAAAGAGGTTGCTATTTATGTTTGCTTTTTCTTTGGTGTCTCAGATAGAGTCAGCAGATGCGTGCCTAATCCTTGCCAATAAATACTGCGCTGACCCAGATGCTGAAGATGCCTCCAATATTATGAGGTAAACTCATTAGTTTTTAATAGGTTTTTGGTTCTTAACTCTGATTAGCTAACTTCTGGTGTCCAGATAGGCTATAGCCACACACAGCTTTATTGCTGATCTGTTGCACTTGAAGAACATTCCAGGATTTTTTTTAGGGGACAAATTACAAGATTGTCTCAAAAGTTCAGAGATGAGGATACCCTAAATTCCTGCCTAAACTGTTTTAATTTAGCTGCTTTAGAAGCACAAGCTTTGGTACTCAGTCATTTTGCAGGACCTAGGGTTTAAGACTGAACGCAGTCCCAATAGGAATGAGAGGAAAGTGAACGCAGTTATGTTGTTGCAACAGTATGTTACGTGAGTGCATGTACTGCATGGGCTGGTATTAACGATGGGACAGAAGGACCCTTAATCACTTAATACTTCATTGCTCCTTGGTATATCTGCTTCTACAAGTAATTACGCTGCTTGGGAGAAAGGAAGATATACACTTCATGATGGTAACAATACAGTGGTCTCCTAGCTCCATCCTCCTTTTTTACATTGAAAATCAAACATTGCTTATTTTGATTGACAAGGCACTTACCACATTAGGGATCACCAGATCTTGTCCTGCTTTCCTCCTTATATTCTCTGAAGGAAGAAGATGAAAGAGTCAGTAAGTAGATGGCAGCTAGAATTACAACAAAGCTAAGCCATTCCATTTTTTGTGTTTTGTTCATACAAACCTAGTTTTAATGAGACCAGTCTCTGCTTTTTAAAATTAAAATGTCCATGATTTGTTAAAAATTCTCTAACATAGAATTAGCCACTGTTATGAACCAATTTTACTGGCCTGTCGGATGTTTGCATGCTGTGAGCGGAAGGAAGGGGAGAAATAAAAAAAAAATTAATGAAATTACTCCTCTGGAAGAAGTTCAGTGTGTGCAAGAGATCTGACTGTCTGTGGAAGGTGCAGGGCTTAAATATGCCTAATTTCATTTTCCAAACATGCTTTTGAGTTTCAGTGCAAGAAACTTTATTTTGACATTAATTGCATAAGTACATTAAAATATTCCAGGTGCAGATTAGTGCATTCTTAATAGATTTAATACATTTAATGTAATAAATAATGTAATTTAATGTAATAAAATGCAAAAGTGTTATTTTGAGAGTGGAATTCTCTTGTGTTTTCTCACATTTAAACGAATTTAATTCAACAAAATTGAATGTTTAATTAAATGATTCAATGAGAAATGGAAAATTAGAAGGAAGACTTGTTTTCTCCTTCCAAGAGAGAACATAAATTACAATCATGCGTACAACTTTTTTTTATCTGTTTCATGCTCTAGCTTTGATATGCTTCAAAGCACAAGCCAGACCAGCAGTTTGCAAGATAAGATACTTCCTACAAAACAGCAGTTATGGCATTCAGAGTCTTATGAGACTGGTGATTCCATAATAATTCAGATTATTTTTAAGTTTTGTTTTATCTTCTTTTTCTGCCTTCAGTTTGTACATGCAGAACTGATTTTTTTTGGCCTATTTCTCTCTGTAATTTTGCTCAATGTTTTTTTAATTTTTAAATTGTATGTTCCTCTCTTCATAACACGTTATCAATCCACTCATTTCTCAAACATTTTTCTTTCCAGCCACTTTTAATCTGTACACAGTTGAGTATATTATAGGCTCATTAAATAATTAAGAATGCAGTCAAGCTGCAGATTATGGAAGTAGCCCCGTCTTTGATAAATTCAGACTTCAAATATCAGTTTCAATATTGAGCTTTGGAATAATCCATAAAAATTAAGATGAATTTGCATGTGGATTTATGGCAAACAAAATAATTATTCAAGGTGCTTAAATATGATGAATGTCTAGCAACTATAAATAAATAATATGTGGTGGGACAGAAAGAAATGGATTCTTTTCAGACATTTATCATTGGAAAACTTGATCAATTATGTTGATTCAAAGACATGAAGATAATCACTGAAGATGACATAGTAATTGCAAGTGTATTATTTGCTTAACAGAATGAGTACAGTATCTGAACAGAGCTGCTAAAACAAGTCTCTTTTTCTGCAAATTCCATAAGAGTAAACCATTTGACTAAATAATTCCTGAAGCTTGATGTTCTCTAGTATTAGCTAATGGTTATTAACTGAATTTGACTAGATGTAAATATTGCATAGGTCTGACTTCAATCGGTCTGCTTTACAGGCAGATGAATAAGAGGGTACAGTTTTAGTTGTGGGACTTGACAACACAATGAAGTAAAGGTATTGGGATAGATAATCCAATCCCACCAGCTAAAAGTTATTTTGTTTTTTCTTTTATTTTTTAGAGTTATTTCAATAAAGAATTATCATCCGAAGATAAGAATTATCACTCAGATGTTGCAGTATCACAATAAGGTAACGTGGCAACCAGCAGTGTCTCTCCCCAGTTTTTTGCTACATTGCATTCGCTCATAAACAATTTTTCTGTCTCCACTAATAGTAAGTATTTTTCTTTCCAACCAAAACTGTCCTAATAATCCTTGTCATGTAATCCAGTTTCAAGGTAATTCAGTTTTATTTATATATGCAAGGGACCTTATCAAAATCCTCTGACATTTATTCGTTGCCTAGGGTCTAATTCTCAAAGCTATAGTGTCCATAGTTGCTATTGATTCCAGATGAGCTTTTAACCACTCAAAAGTTTTGCTCATCTTATTACACTAGGGCTACGCAAGATGAATCGGTGACCTCCAGGCAAGTCATCTGAAGTCAGTTCTTTGTGGATACTTCAAAAAAAAAGCATAGGATTGTTGTCTTATTGGAGATTTATTGTGATTTTGTGTTTCTTGCATGACAATTTAGACCTGAAATTGCTAAGTAGTAGGTACAAATAAATAAAATTAAGTGTTTTTTCATATAAAACGTAATTCAGTTGTGGAATTTATTTCTAAAAATATTGTGGAGATCAAAATTATAAATCCACTTTGGAAAGGAATTTGGCAAATTTTTGATGGTAAATCTGTGGCCTTTAAATGCAATGAAGTCATAGAATCATTAAGGTTGGAAAAGACCTCTAAGATCATTGAGTCCAACCGTCAACCCAACACCACCATGCACACTAAACCATGTCCCTAAGCACCACATCTACACGTCTTTTAAATACTTCCAGGGATGGTGACTCAGCCACTCCCCTGGGCAGCCTGTTCCAAGGCCTGACCACTCTTTCAGTAAAGAAATTTTTCCTAATGTCCGATCTAAACCTCCCTTGGCGCAATTTGAAGCCATTTCCTCTCGTCCTATCACTAGTTACTTGGCAGAAGAGACCACCACCCACCTCACTACAACCTCCTTTTTAGGTAGTTGTAGAGCGCGATGAGGTCTCCCCTCAGCCTCCTCTTCTACAGACTGAACAGTCTCAGTTCCCTCAGTCACTCCTCATAAGACTTGTTGTCCAGACCCTTCACCAGCTTCGTTGCCCTTCTCTGTACACACTCCAGCACCTCAATGTCCTTCTTGTAGTGAGGGGCCCAAAACTGAATACAGTATTCAAGATGCGGCCTCACCAGATCACTTCCCTCCTCCTGCTGGCCACACTATTTCTGATACAGGCCAGGATGCCATTGGCCTTCTTGGCCACCTGGGCACACTGCCGGCTCATGTTCAACC